TAGAAACCAATGATTCTGCTGTTTTTTTTGTGTTTTTTTTCGTGTTGGATATGAAGAGAAAGCATTTTATAACAGTCGTTCGTCAGTTCTAAACTTAGGTTGACCGTACCACCATACTTGGCCTACACTGATAATCCATGTTCTGGATTGATTTGTAATCTGGCATTTAGCTTCATTCCAACATTACCCGTACGTTCTAAATATGTTAGGCCTGCACAATTGTATATTAATACATCGTGTGGGTTTTAATTATCAATCTATTTACTATGCATTTTCCCACAGTCACTATCCAAGGGATTATCACATAATAGACCTAAGCCGTTTTCATAGTTAAACCCCAGCTGTTTTTGCCTTTAAAAGTGTATATCTTTCTTCGAATCTCACATTTTTAGTGCACCGTACACACTCAATGTGTTTGAATCACTCAGGGGCGTTTCCAGCCCGGTAAGAAAGTGGGGCGTGAATGTGTGAAATGAGGGTCTCGAAGAGCTCCTGAGAGGGATGATGATGCAATTGGCGAATCCTCTTGAAACCTATAACACCTTCATTTATGCATTCATTCTGAGTTAGTATTTGATTGACTATATCTATAGCATGGTAATTTTCTGATAGGCTTTACAAAAAAAATGTTAACACTAAATAGAGGGGGCGTACGCCTCTTATTCCCCCTGTAAATCTGCCACTGTCACTCCTGAACAATTTTGCATTAGTGAGTGTCGAACCACTACCTTTAGAGTTTGTAATATACCTGGTATCAATCCACTAAAACCGAGAACGCACTGTATTCAGTCTTAATATGGAAAGCACAGAATATTTTTCAGCCTTAGGCGGATGAAGATTGCCTACCGAAAGATGTTGATGACGTCACATTATGATAACACCTGTATATATTTTGATAAAATGTAGAAATATGATGAGGTACTTAACAACACAGATTTAGACAATGGGTGACATTATAACTTAATGGGTGTAGCTCCTCCCTCTTCTCAGCAAAACTAGAAATAAGAGTCACAACATGATACAACGTCACGTGCCCGACTTCATCAGCATTAATGAGCGGATGTTTTAATTTCATACATCCCACTATGCTATTTGCGATAAATTAATAAAACAACATTATAATCAAGCAGATACGTACAGTATAGCGTAAACTTCTTAGCAGAGTGAATTGAATTTTCCAAAATTTCTCATTCGTTTCTAAAGTTCTAACATTATGTATGTTCGAACAGACATCCTTTTGGTAATTAAACCATAAAGGGGACAAAATAAATTTAATTATATTCTAGGGCGGGATGCTTTGTATAGAACTGCCCATAATAGCAATTTAGAATGTTTAGCAATTGCAGTACTACTACTTACCTGTAAAATGAAACTATATACTGTTAGGTATAATTGTTATAATCCAGATAATTAGGCACAACTGTTTACATAATGCATTTAATATATTAATGTTGATTTGTAGGATGATAAATAGCATGGAGGTGACCTTTACAGTTTAAGTGGAAAATGCGTTTCGGCCATAGGCTTTCCTCAAGTCATACGTTCGTAAGCATCTATTTCAAATAAATTGCAGCAAATTGAATAAATATAATTTATATATTTTGGCCTGCCTAATTTATATATTTTTTTTATAATTTATATATAGGCCTATATCTGTCTCTTATACACATTTGTATTTATGCTATTACTTATTGCTGTTTATCAATTGTGGAGGTGTTTCTCTATTCCCAATTTAATTTTAAGTGATTATAGACATATAATATTTCATGATTGTGTGTCTCGATAAATTACGATATACTTTCGATGGCACAGTATTAACAAACCAAACCATAGTAGGCCTACTAATAACGATAAGCTGAACAAATGTTTTTAGTTTCGTTAGGTCAGTTGGGAAGTTTGAAATAAAAACAAAAAGACACTTTTAGTCCGTATAAAACAATTACCATGATGCTTACAGCTCGCTTATTCATTCTTTAAAAACATATCATGACGTCATAATTCGTAACTGGTACAATACGGCTCGCTCAGGTAGAAGAGCCTAAACTCGATGGCTTTCCTCTCACACGATTCAAAACATGTCAGTTTCTGGCGATCGCGGCGAGTTTATTTAGTTTGTACAACTGACTAATTTCCACAGAATATAACCATTCATTAAGTCGTTATTGTAAACAACTTAATGCGGATAAAAAATATCACTAGTGACTCAATCCTAGTTTGTTGAAAACAATCCCATATGATAATTGTTTTGTCACTACGTGTTATGGTCCAATTACAGTTGTGGATTCATATTACACAATGGTTATTATAGGCCTATATTTATTTTTAACAATTCCATCGTACTGTATTTATTATCGTATTTAATTTATCATATTTCGTGTGTCTGTACAATATCAATATTTATCATATAATTAAGTTTTCATAAATTTACATCCTTATGGTAATATTAATTAATTAATTATTTAATAAAATTAACAAACAAACAAAACATAAAATAAAATTTTAAGTACAAGTCTATTGAGATTAATCAGCAAATGCTGCATAGACTAAAATGTTCTATGAATTTTGGCCAAGCAAAATGGTACATTAATGTGCTTTAAATGAAAAATTACTTTTTTATAAATGAGCAACTTCCTCAATACATTTAAAAAAATGAAAATATTGAGGACAGGAAATTATGAAGAACACAACAATTTCATCTGGATATTTTTTCTCACAGATGTAACAACACGTTTCCCTGCTCAAGAGAAAACTCTGAGCCTACTGTCTTCTCTCATACGCCAAGTAGGCCGCCTTTGAGAATCGCTTGAGTTACTATGACCATTGACATAGCAATTTTTGTCTAAATTTAACACTTCTTAGAAATTAATTGCGCAGACTAAGTTACAACTCTTTCATTTTATCCAGAACAAAACGGATTAATTAAAGTGGTTCCCTTTAAATGAAATAGGGTCGTATTTTATGGACAGAATAAATTTTTACAGAGTTTACTATAAAAAGCGTAATATCATTATATTTAGGTTCACACTAGAGCAGTGTTAATGCGTTGATACACGCGTAGTCGCGCGCTTCTAAATTGCTTACAGTGAGAAACAAGCTTTAGATGGTGTACTTGGTAAAGAAAATTTGGCGCGCAATCGATTATGCAGAGTGTCCATCTTCACAAAAGAATGTTAATGAAATCACCCACTGACCTAACTGCAGGTGAAATAATCCCAGGTGGCTCGCGAAAACGTGTTTGTTTTCCTTCCGATAGAAACTTTAACTTATCCAGATTATTACTCGACAAAAATAGTTTGGATAATATGTAGAGCAAGCGTGACCCAAGAAGCCTTCCGCGATAAGATTTCGATCGACACACAAGGGGCTTACTCCTGAGCCTTGCTTCCGAAACCTGTGCTTGGTTTTGTTTTGTTTTTTCTTCTCACCAAACACTAAACCTTTAATAATTAGGTCATTGGTATGAAAATACATTTTTGAAAAACAATTATATATTTATATAAAAAATATAAAGACTAAAATGCGTGTTATTGTCGAGAGCGAATAATAAAAGGTTAAAGACTCTGCCCTTTGTCTCCCTCCCCTCTTCACAAATACAGTGATGCAAATTAAATAGGGTATAGGTTTAATATAGATCATAGGTGAGAGTGGTACTTAAATCAGTGAGCTTAAATGATCAGTAGTTCACCTAAATAACATAGGCTAATAGTTGGTGTTTTATTTAATGTTCCTGCATTTTTTTTTTTATATTTCATCGAAAGCGCATTTTAGTTTTGTAATTTTAAAGATTAAGTGAGTTAGGAAAAAGGAAGTGAAATAACATAACGCGTGTCGTTGAAGAAAAGTGGAAGTAGTGATCTGGTAATAACACCATAAAAGTGGTGAAGTTCACCCATAAAGGGCACGAAAGTTCAATTTGAACTCAATAATAATTATAATAATGTAGGCCCACAGAAGTAGGTTTACGTGTCTCATTAGATGACTGAGCAAACACTAGTATTTATACACATACGCAAATTCCTCTTCTTTAATGGTTAACAATTTATATACAGCATTTATTCGAATACAGTAAACGCATGCTTTGAACACAGGCCCTCCTCGATCGAATACACTCCACTTCTAGAGTCTCATTTTGAATAATCGCCTCCCTTCAATAAATACCCTGAGCCGTTTATTTTTCCTCGAATAAACGCACTCTCTAAATAACTGTAAACAAATCTAAAGGAAGCAACATCATTCTCAACACATTCTATTAATTTTCTACTCTAGAATAACATTTTCTCTAACCTGGTTGGGATAATTAAATTTTCATGATCACGCAAGAACACAAGACGGTAATTATGTGTAGCGCGCAGCTC